ATAAACTACTATAAGATACTATAGTATATACATATATATATATATATACGATAACCTACGATAAGATACAATCATGCCCTCAACTGAGTGTGCATCGAAGCTGGGGTCTCAGACTGCTGAGGACCGCGAGCCGCCACCCTGGCAGGAGGTGCTGTCACTTTAGTGAAAGGAAACGACAGTTTAGGACAGTTTAGGTTTTTTTTTTGAACGCCTTTTTCCACCTGCCGGAGCATCCTTCAGCTGGAATCCGCTTTGCAGAAGGCTAGTTTAGGGTTTAGGGTTTAGGGGAGTTTAGGGTATAGTGGGCTTCTATAAGGCTCCTATAACGGTAGCTACCCACCTGAAAATGTCCTAGACTTTAGTTGTTTAGGGCCCAGGGGTTAGGGGCTTAGGGTTTTAGGGCTTAGGGGTTTGGGGCTTCGGGGTTTAAGGTAGGGGCCTTAATCATTAGAATAGGGTTTCGGGGCACGTTATAGCGCACTGTTTTTATAAGGAACCCTAGGGAATAATATTGGTAATTATTTAGGCCCCTACATTAGGGCCTGTGGCGAGGATTCAGGGTCCAGGGCACTTCAGGGTTTAGGTTTGAGACTGTGGAGCCTTCTCCGAGAGAGGACAGACTCAACTGCCGGATACTGAGACTCAGGCCAGGGTGGGGAAAGCCTCGGCTTGGGCACCAGCATCGAAATCCTGTCGGTCACGCGTCCGTTCTGTCTCACGACCACGACCACCAAAACTTCGAATGATTATGGTATCAACTAGCATGAACTCGCGTGTCCTTCGGCTGAGCTGGAGCGGCTTTTCTGGGCCTGCACATAGTTTGACATTGAGCATGGCAGGCACGGACATGAAGCAGCTCAGTAGCAGAGGCAGTAGTGATGGTGGTGGTGGTGGTAGAAGTAGCGGTGGAAGCAGTAGCAGTAGTGGCAGGAGTAGTGTAGTAGTAGTAGTAGTAGTAGTAGTAGTAAGGGGAGGAGTAGTAGTAGTAGTAGTAGTAGTAGCAGCAGTAGTGGTAGTAGTGCTAGTAGAAGTAGTAGTAGTAGTAGTCGTCGTCGTAGTAGTAGTAGTACTAGTAGTAGTAGTAGTAGTAGTAGTAGTAGTAGTAGTAGTAGTAGTACTAGTAGTAGTACTGGTAGTAGTACTAGTAGTAGTAGTAGTAGTAGCAGTAGTAGTAGTAGTAGTAGTAGTAATTCAAGTCGAAGACGTAGTAGTAGTAGTAGTAGTAGTAGTAGTAGTAGTAGTAGTAGTAGTGAAGAATCAGTACTAGCAGTAGTACTGGTAGTAGTACTAGTAGTACTAGTAGTAGTAGTAGTAGTAGTAGTAGTAATTCAAGTCGAAGTAGTAGTAGTAGTAGTAGTAGTAGTAGTAGTGGTAGGTAGTAGTAGTAGTAGTGGTAGTAGTAGTAGTAGTAGTAGTAGAAGTAGCAGTAGGAGTACTAGTAGTAGTAGTAGTAGTAGTAGTAGTTGTTGTTGTTGTAACAGCAGCAGCAGCAGCAGCAGGGCAGGAGTAGTAGTAGTAGTAGTAGTAGTAGTAGTAGTAATTCAAGTCGAAGTAGTAGTAGTAGTAGTAGTAGTAGTAGTAGTAGTGGTAGAAGTAGTAGTCGTAGTAGTAGTCGTAGTAGTCGTAGTAGTAGTAGTAGTAGTAGTAGTAGTAGGAGTAGTAGTAGTAGTAGGGGTAGTGGTAGTGGCAGTGGCACTGGCAGTGGTAGTGGCAGTGGCAGGGGTAGTGGTAGTAGTAATAGTAATTCAAGTCGTAGTTGTAGTAGTAGTAGTAGTAGTAGCAGTAGTAGCAGTAGCACTAGCACTAGCAGCAGCAGGAGTGGTAGCAGCAGTAGTAGTAGCGTGAGTAGTAGTAGTCGTCGTCGCCGCCGTCATCGTCGTCCTCGTCGTCGTCGTGGTGGTAGTGGTCGCGGTCGTGGTCGTGGTGGTCGTGGTCGTCGTCGCGGTCGCGGTCGCGGTCGCGGTCGTGGTCGTGGTGGTCGTGGTCGTGGTCGTGGTCGTGGTCGTGGTCGTGGTCGTGGTCGTGGTCGTGGTCGTGGTCGTGGTCGTGGTCGTGGTCGTGGTCGTGGTCGTGGTCTTGGTGGTAGTGGTGGCGGTGGGAGTAGGAGCACGAGGAGGAGTAGGAGTAAAAGTAGGAGTAGTAGGAGTAGTAGGAGCATTAGGAGTAGTAGGAGTAGTAGGAGTAGTAGGAGTAGTAGGAGTAGCAGTAGTAGGAGTAGTAGGAGTGCTAGGAGTGGTAGGCGTGGTAGGAGAACGAGGAGTAGGAGGAGAGCAGGAGTGGTAGTAGGCGGAGGAGCACTGGGAGTGGTAGGAGTGGCAGGAGAACGAGGATTAGGAGGAGTGGGAGCAGGAGTAGGACTAGGAGTAGGAGTCGAAGAACCCCTGAAGGAATCAACACCAGATTGACCGGAGCCAAGGTTGCTGAAGGTATGTGCTGGCTTTAGCCCAGCTTCGAGATGAAATCCTCATCACGGAGAAGCATCCTCCGGCGCAAGACGTGACAAAGCTTCCGTTCGAAGCTCAGGAGTAGACCCTCCAAAAAAACGCGCTTGACGAGGCATCTTTTCCGTGTCGTTGCACCCCGGAAACTCATGGTCACTACAAAGAACCCCGGCCCGACAAGTTCAACTGCAAAACAACATGGGTAGTTCTCTAAACTAGGGTCCCCTTTTAGGTCCCCAATATAGCACGGCACCCTTCTAAATAGGACCCTAAAAGGGACCCTAATTCAGAGAACTACCCACATGGAACAGCATCGATGCCCTGATGAGACCAGCTCCTCGCCATGGCGTTGACCACAGTGGCCATGTGGCGCGTATTGCCTCTCAGAGCCCAAATAGAAAGAGGCGGGCAACCGAGAATGTCTGATTATTGGACCTCCACGCACGAAGTTTAACCAAAGAAGCACCAATAAAAAAAGGATTTAAACACACCTCTGGCGCCGAAAAAAGAAGAACAGCCGAGCCTACCCATTTTCCCATTGTCCATTTTTCACGATAAGTTTTATAGGAGAGGCTCCATGACGCAATGATTCTTTAGGCCGGTCATCTGCATCTACGGACACATGAAAGCTTTCCAAGACCCTAAAACCTAGAACCTAGATTCCATATTGGTCCCAGTCACTTTGCGGAAGCAGCTTGGTTGCGCGTTCCACATAGAGTCCCGCCACCTGCGATACAAGATAGCCGAGCCACAAAACAAGGAAAGGGTTCTCTTACAGGAAGTGCCAAACGTCCCGACAAGATTGCGAGAGCTGTATGAGAGGGCGACACTCAAGCATGTGCCTCCGCCACGGTCTCATCTGGGAGAGGCGACCTGTGCAAACCGAGACCAACACGTCTGGCGGCATAGCTGTGAGGTGTTGACCCGAAACGTTGTGCGCCCAGGATTCATCCAGTCCAGAATACTACAGAACCGGGGAATGCAAGCCTCGAGCACGCATTCAGGACGCGTGCGGCGCCCTCGGCATCTGCGTGGCGAACCTCACTCATCTCGACACGACACAGACCGTCACCATCCTTGACCTCAAAGCTCGCCTCAATTCCGGGGTGGATCTTCCAGCGAATGCGGTGAGTTCTGTCCGATCCCAAGGATTATGAAGTCCACCGTTGCATGCAAGAAGCTACGCTCTTGGCTCGCTCGAGGTGCGCGCGCCAAGCGCCGAAATTCCTTGCAACTTCAGGCATATCGATCTGTCACAGTTTGGGGCATGCTTGCCTGAATAGTGCCTTGAATGGGTAAGCTGTTAGCTTGTGAATGCGCTGCACACAGAGACCTGAATCCCATAAATCCGTGCCGGCTGCATGAGCTTCCCCGAAGTTTCGACTAGTCTCGGACTGCGTCGTCGTGCAAGGGCCTCGCGCGAGGTCTCTTCAGCTTACGTGACTCACTATCTCATGCTCCATGATGGACCCACGCGAGACTTGCACTCCAGGGCCTGGGATGCAACTCCTAAGCTGTCCACCCTCAAACAACGATCAATACAGTAGGCGTTGGCCTGGAGGCTCCTGGCTGCCAGCGACGGATCCCCGACAGCAGCCCGGTCGCTGCAGCTCCGCGCCTGGGACTTTGGGTCCACTCCCACCTTCTTCCTGGACACATCGATTTTAGAACCTCGGGTTACTCTCGAAGCTCACGGCCGGAATTCAAGACCGAAGTGACAACTTCCAGATTGAAGACGTGGCGGGATGTTCTGACGCATAGGGTCGAGGGCTTGGGACTTTTAGGCAAAGCTTGTCTAGAGAAGGTTGTACTCTCAGATGCAAAAGTCCCTGACAGAAGCAACTTGGAGAGTCGGAGACAAAGAAAGTAGTTGATCAGCGGGTTATAGGTAGGATGACCACGATCAGGGTCCTGTCTTGCCTGTCTGCATACGTACCGATTAAGTCCGCCCAAGATCATAGTGGGCCCGACTGTCAGGATGTTCCCATCGCTTCAACGAGTTTTACGAGGGCTGAGCGGCCCGTGTTCGTCCCTCGTGAGACTAAGTCGAGCGATGCTTAGGAGATATGTTGAGCACTCCCAGTTTTCTGCATTTTCTGCAAGCCACGGACAGGGGCAGCCGAAGCGTCACCGGCACCGGGCGCATTGGCCTCAAACGTGGCCGTGGCTGTGAAAAACTCTAACAGAGTACAGCATGTGGCCAGAGAAGCTTTACACGCATGCTTCGGGAAAGGGGCCTTCCTTGGTGGAGTTCTGTTCCAGAGACTGAGCGAGCGAAGACCCTCTGATTCGAGGTCGTGCCCTCTCAGGTTCGAGGACCGCGCCTGGAAGCTCCCAGCACGGAGCATGGCTGCGCGAGTGCTTCGCAATGCTTTAGTGACAGGCTGTGTCTGTGGAAACGATGCTTTGGGTTTAACTCTCCAGTCTTCGGCTGTACAGTTTGGACGCAGCTTTGAGCCAATGGGCTGCAGTCGAAGGATTGAACGCGACCTAAAACATCCCATTCCGAATTCCGAGGCGCCTTGAGAGCTCTCAGATCTCTGTGACGCTTCCCTGGGCCTCGCGAAGCTTGGACTCCGCATCGCCATGGCGGGTCTTCATCTCCTGCAAGCGCCCAGGGCTGAGAGCTCTGCTGGGAGCGCTCTGCATTGTGAGTTCAACTCTCTCTGAAGTGCTTGTTCGTGGCTCGTGTCGGGCAGTCTCTCGTCGCCACAAATCATGACATACTATCCAACTTCGGCGCTTGCACGCTTGGCCGCTGCAACTTCCACTCTGTGCGGAGCAACTTTCCCAGCCTGATGTTTCGCCCGCTGCGTGGCCAAGGCCACCTCGGTACAGTCTCGGAACGGCACAATCAGCGTGCGCTGAAGGGACACTTCAAAAACCCCATGGAAGCATGCCAAAAGCTCTAAAGACGCTGCAGGGCTTCCTGCAAGCAGGACGCCGTTTTTCGAGATCCCCCCTACCAGGAAGTAGTCTGATAGAGAAAGCGAAAGGGGCAGAGGAGAGGCGGAGAGGCCAAAAAAGGGCCCGGGGCCCGGGGCCCGGCCCGGCCTGGGCGCTCCTCAACGCAGTGTCGGTGCGCTCCAGCTGCGCCGTGATCTTCTCAAGCTGGCTTTCCTAAAGGGAGTTTAGGGCTCAGGTTCAGGGTTCAGGTTCAGGGTTTCGGTTCAGGGTTTCGGTTTAGGGTTTCGGTTTAGGGTTTCGGTTTAGGGTTAGGTTCAGGGTTTCGGTTTAGGGTTTGCAGGGTCTACAAAAGAAACAGAAGGGTCGACGAGTCTGGTCTGGGGGTTTTGGAAGTGCTGCCAGGCATCCCTGACATCCAATTCGTCTCGCCAGATGCACCTGAGAAGTAAAGCTTTGCTAGTCTGTGCCGCTGGAAGCCATGCCTGCACTGGGTGGTACTTTTGAGGTGGCAGATGTCAATCCGAAGGATTCACATCATCAATGTCCGTGCATGTCCATGCCACGCATGCAGGCTCCCCACAATCCGAGCACCCACCCCACTCTCCCACCACGTCTTAGGAGGTGGCCGATGGGACCTGGCAACTGGAGTGTTAATCAAAACAGTCTGCTGAATAGAGACAATGATTTGCAGAGGGGCTTCCACTGTAAAAAGACGTGTCCGGAGGGAATGTGTCGAGAGGTCCCGTCCCCTAGACAACCCAAACGAATCGCATGTGAAGAGCCCAGCCTGAACTCCTCCGAAGTACTGTCACTCCCAAAAGGATCCCAAAAGGAAAGCCGGAAGTCGGACGCCCCAAAGCTGCTCCCCTTTCCCGGCAACACTTGGCTGGCGCACTTCGGTGCTTCTACGAGCTCCTGGAAATAGGAAAAAATGTCACGTTCTCACGGGCGCATTGCTTCGAAGCCTCCACAAGCCACAGGCCCCAAGACCCTTGAATCCCTGGTACAATACCAAGCTTTTCTCATCGGCTCTTGTAGCTTGCCACCTGTGCTGCACGCGACTGTACAGTGGGCAATGCGAGAGCGAAACCTTCCTCCGATTGCAGCAAAGTCTTCTACTGAGTTCTACTGAGTTCTTCGGCTCGCGGACTGTTCGGGCTCGATCCGGTCCAGTACTGACTTTGCTGGAATGATGATGCTTTCCACTGTAGCTCCAGAACAGCGGGACGTCAGCAACTGAAACACAGAGGGGTGCAGGGGCACCCCACATTGACATGAGCAACCGAAAGCCGGAAGAGCACAAAGTCTCTGAGGCTCTAAATGAATTCCAGAGCCCCACGGACTCGTCCCCTGGTCTTTGGCTCGAAACGTCTTTTTTCGATTCACCGGGACAGCCGGGGCCGCTTCGCAGGCGGTTCCTGTGCCTGGGAGAGCGAGGAATTTGGAAACCAAAACGGGTTTAGGGTTTAGGGTGCTCTGTCGGACGTTCGGCGGCCTGGAAAAGACCCAGCTGTCTCATGGCGGCGCGCTGCGCTGGCACTTCCTCTCGGAGGGCTATTTCGATTAGGGCTCCATGTCACTGCTCCATGCTTCGAGCTTTCGTTTTCCCATGCCGGTGCATGGCAGGTTTCATGAACAAAACCTCCATACAAGTCGTCAGTCCTGGAGGGCACACAGCGCGAATGCAGCCTGCCATAACAGGGCTCTGTGTTCATAGACGCAGCTACAAGAGACTACAATGATCGGGAAGCCGATCGCCTGTTATTTGACTCAGCCCCTGATGGCCTCGGCTAAACGACACTGCCGAGGGCGGCCACTCTCCAGCAGAGCCTGGAACTTCGCCTCGGCTTGAAAACTGCACAGACATGCACGATTCAGATGCCGGGAGAATGCGATGCTGGAACATTACCAGTATTAACAATAAACAACACGAAATCACCAGGACGACACATGCTGCTCATGAGTAACTAAGTAACAACCGCAACAAGTGCAGGTGATCGCACGAAACTGGATGCCATGAGGAATTCAAGCTAAACGCTTGCAGTTTCGAGGCATCTTCTGTTTAGGAGCTGGGCGCTGTCAGTTTCGCGAGCCGACGACTTCTAGCTAATATCACAAGAACAGGCGGCTAGATTTCAGGGAGATCTACACAGCCCTAAGATGCAGCCGAAGTGACAAAAGGAACGAACCTGGGCCGACATCAAAGAATGTGGTAAGCTCAGGCTCTAGAAAGAAATCGCAATAGTCCTCTTTCTCGACTCGGCACTGGAAATTGTCGAACTGCCTGCTAGGGAGGGCATCGTCGAACTCCTGTGCTTCAATGGACTACGCCACAAGAGCAGAACAATTCCATGTCGCTCCAGGCAGTCCTTCATGACGTCCCAAGGGCCATCACCCACGCCGATCATGACCTGGCATCGAGCGGTGAACCGCCATGAGCCCTTATGTAACGCTGTTCCTTAAGGCTCCCACGATGGAGAGCGGATAGTCGCTGGCCAGTACCAGGGCTTGCCGCGTCGCTTCACAACAGGCATCGTCAGTGACTGCCTGGCGTCACAGACACCCCAGCCGAAGCTCATATCTCGAGTCTCATCGACTCTGTAGCTAGGAATAGAAGATCCAGAAGAGAGAATATGGTGTCTTTGGTATGCCTGGGTCATGGTTAGTTCGGCCCAATGTATCCGAGGATGGCCTGGACGCTTTTTGTGTAGTCGTCTATACGCGTGTGCCGTCTGGAATGTGGATACGTGTTCCAGGGAATCAGCGTGTCGAAGAATGTGTCAAAAAGAAGAAATTCGAGAAGAGATGATGTGTTGTGATGGAAATAGCAATTTAGGGACATGCTCATAGGCAAGCTGGGATAAATACTCATTAGAGCATTCAGCTTCCGAGAGGTCCAATAGTTTATGGTAAAATGAGCTTTTCACGTTAAAGATCTGGCGTAAGACTTTGTAGTGGATCTTGTTGAGCTTGGTAAGCTGAGATTGGTGATACATTTGCGATTCCGCGCCATACAGTAGGATCGCTAATACAATCTGGGAATGTACTAACAATTTTCTTTTAATCGAAATGGAAGGGTGCTTAAAGAAGTCATGAAGACATTTAGCTGCGTACGCCGCCTGTCCATATCGCTTCTTGGCATCCTCTTTTGCAGACGAATTACAAGAGAGTACTGCGCCTAAATAATCCACATGTGGTTTAGGATCAATTCTAAGCTCCTTCGGGAGGTACGGGTCAGGTCTAGACTGACAGAAATCACATGAGCAGGGGTGCGAAGGGTGGTCAATAAGCAAAACTGGGAGGTCGGAGTTGATAGCCAGTAGGTGGCACTTTTCATGGTTCAAGGACATACCCCGCGCACTCGATTGCGCCTGAAGTATGTGGAGAAATCTATGCATAGATAGGCGTGTTCTGGACAACAACACCGTGTCGTCCGCGTATTCTAGGTCTGTCAATCTAAAATCAGATGTGAGTACAAAGAACCGATAGGGTAACGATAAACAGATATGGTGAAAGGGGACATCCCTGACGTATGCCTTGTGCAAAGGTTTTGGGTTGTGAATTATATCCTGAATCTTTAACTGTGAATTGGCAGTCGCGATATATTGAAAGTACCGGGTTTGCGAACTGGGGTGGGACCCCTAAGCGGCCAAGCGCGTTGGCTAGCGCTACATGGGATACTGAATCAAATGCTTGGGACCAGTCCAGGAAGAGAGCGTAAAAGGATTCCTGGTGTCGTTCATGCAGTTCCAAAAGTCTCCTAAGTACAAATAAAGGAGTCGATGTTGATTTCCCAGCTCTAAATCCAAATTGTACCGGTGATATGCGTTCATCTATGGATGCCTTTAGGCGCTGGTGTAGCAGGCACGCGTAGATTTTGTAAACCGTGTTGATAAGTGAGATTGGGCGATAACTCGTGGGAAGAGTGGAGTCTTTCTTTTTGCCCTTGAATATCATAACTATGTCGGCTACCTTCCATGATCTAGGGGACTCTGCGTTGCGAAAGGCTTTGGTAAAGTGCGCGAGGAGCGCCTTATGTACTTCTCTGGGAGCGTACTTCCAGATTTCCGAGGGAAGTTGGTCCGGTCCAGGAGCCTTGCGATTTTTAAGACGCGCAAGGGCAGTCATGAGTTCCTGCTCCGTAAATGGGCTAGTGTCTATGGGCGCTGTGTCGTAGATGGGGGTATTCGAGATAGGAGGTAAATCTCTAAGGTTCCAGACATTCTGGGCCAAGTGTTCGGCCAATACTTCAGGTTTATTGGCTTTAGTGGACATGTGTCCGTTAGGTTTGCGTATGCC